AATTCAATTGTCATAAACTGTAATCAGCTTCATGAATGATCTTTTAAAAAAATGTCCCCATTCATTCTCTGGATACTGAGAGCTCCGTTAATTGTTAGTTACCTGCTTTCACCTTGGTACTCACAAGGTTACGGCCAGCGAAATGAAGGTGGTACAAAATGTGTTAATATAAAATAAACCTGCCAAAGTTTTTTGAAATAACTTACCCAAAGGTGAGAATAACCAACTAAAAATGATCTAAATCAGTCCAGCTACTCTGGGCTTAAATTTGAAATTCATATTGAATTCTCCCTTTTAAATAACCCAGTTAGATAGGTGCCCTATCAGCTTTGATCTTGCATTAATCTAGCAAGTTCACTTGTAGGAATTTCAAAAGAATTTTAACAAAATTATCTGTTTTGTTATCCTAAAATCTATGGTCAGTATGCATTAACTATGTTCTTGCTTAGCTTTTGGAAAGTAAAATATAGAATGTAAAAATAAAAATAAAAATCTATTGTCAGATAATTCGATCTATTACATACAGCAACATTTATCTACGGTAAGCAATCATTACAGATCAGTGGCACTCCAGTCAAATGAGCTTCTTGTTGATAAAGGAACATCAGTGCCTCATTGCTTAATTATGTATCCCCATGGAACAGAGCATTTAGGCCATTCATTTAGAGCAGAAAGTGTTCCACTTAAGATGAATTTAGTATTTAACGTTCAAGGCTCTTGGATGAGGCGAGACTGCAATAACCTTGTTGCTTCAGTGATTTGAAGTGGTCATGGTGGTAGTCAGTCTGTGCATTCTGTGGAGTCAGTCTGTGCAGCATGCAAGGGGATAGTTGCACCCTTAGCACATGTGACATTTGCACCCCAGAACTTTGTTCATTTCTGCGCTGGCGAGAGACATCATGCAGGCAGAGGGAAAGATAGCTCTCCCTTTTCACCCACCCCACAGGCACTACCTCTGCTATAGTTCTATGGTAGTTGTATTCATGCATTAATAAAGGGGCAACCCAAAACATCTGTTCATTCTCTGTGTCCTTCTAATAAAACACTGGTAGCACCCTACGAGCACTCAGCATCTAATAACACTGCCCTCATATTTTATTTACATTATGTGAGGAACAGTGGGAAAGGCATGCTGCACACAGTTGACCTATATATTAAAGGGACACTCCAGACCCCCAAAACACTTTAGCTTGCTGAAAAGCTTTATGTGTGACAAGTGTGTCCTATTTTTTTCATTTTGCAAAAAGTGCATATTTCAGTAAAAATTGACACTTTTATAAATTAGACTGGTTACACCCCCTGCATTTTTAAGTAGATAACTGGTCCTTTTACTTCCTGGTTTGTTTAGCTTATTTACACTGAACCCAAGAGGAAGCGATTGCCAGAACACCTGCCTTGCAAACATTTCTCATTGAACTGCATTGGGAAGTCTGTGATTGAACAGCCACAGACAGTCTAGGCGGGGTTAGAGGGGAGGGATTGCAAAGGCTGCAGACGAGATCTGCAACTTTTGCAAGCTGTTTTTACATATAACTCCAATGAAAAGATACATAATTAAATACATGCAATTTTTTTCGTTTGGGGTATATATACTTAACAGTAATTTCTATTTATTTTCTATTTGGGCAGTGGAATGTCCCTTTAAATAATTTGTTTTTGGTACTGCAGTCCCCATACCTCTGTCTTATAGGTCAAATCTCTATGAGAAGCCTGTGATTGGACTGCGCTGGCCCCTGTGACGTCAAGACAGGCGTGGAAGTCAGTGATGGGAGCTTTGCCATTCGATGTAAGATCATCTTTAGTTATTCATTAGAGTGTGCATTGTCTGGAATTCAAAATTAATTTAAAAATACAAATGATCCAATCAAGCTATATTTTCAATGCACCTATTTTGGAACACTTCAAAAACGTAAACGGAGGACATCTATATTAAGTAGAGAAGCTGTGAAATATGTGATATATTATACTTGCCATAACATATAATAATCTCATTGACAATAGCTTGCGACTGTCCCTCTTCTCTTGTGGAAATTGGCCCCCTGGTGGCCAAGAGCTACACTTGCTGATGCGTAGAGAGCCCTAATTACTATGCAACTCCTGGCACCATAACTACAATAGCAGACTGTATTAGGTTATGGCGCTTGGAGTGTTTTTAATGTTTCTTTTATGGGTCAGTGTTGACAAATCTTGGTAACCTCAGGCATTTGTGAACTGCATTTAGACAGTCTGAGCATCATGGTAAATGTAGTTCCAGTCAAATGAACTTAGTCATCAGTGAGAAACACCAAGCATTCATTTAGTGTTCTTGCCTGCTAAATTAAAAAATATATATATATTTGTTTTTCACTATTTTAAGAACAGAAAACTAAACACTCCAAAAAAGATTCCACTGTTGCTATAACAACGCCTATTGTCCTGTCTGGTCTCTTTTGAAAAGCAAAATATTTCTCAGCATTTTCTCTGTATATTCTCCAACCGAGCTTTGATGGCTAAACTGACATAGAACAGCTTGGTGACCTGAACAAATTCAACTTTGGACATTTTCTCTTCTCACTCCTACATGTAAAATAGACCTATATACAATGGCTTATTTTCATGGGAGGGCCAGTATGTCTCAAATGAACACTGCAATGCTCCCCAGCAGTACTGCTTGGCCCTTGTGATACAAGGAGTCTACAAGGAGTTTACCCCACATGGTGACTTTTTCTGCAAATAAGACCTTCCGAACTTCCTTCCTGGGATTTATTTTTTTCTCCTGAATCTCAATCGCTGATGTTTAGTGATCATTTATTGATCGTTGCATGTTTTGTTGATTTTCCTTTTTTAGGTATATGAGAGAGAATCTGGCTGCGTGTGTCACATGACAAGCGAGAATTAACCAGACCCCAAGAAAATATGATCAGGATACGATTTGGTTTTCCTAGAATCAGAATTATTTTCCACCAGGAACAAGCTAAAGGGATTGCATTACTAGTGGTTATGGTGGGGTAGCCAATTTGACAGATTTACAAACATTACGAATATATAAAATAGAAATCTGAATGTAAACTATCCAGTGGTATTATAGCTCAAACTAATAATACACATCTGTTTCAATAATGGGATAACATTGGAGCTTCTAACTCTTCTCGATTCTGTCCTCTGTTACATGTTATAGATTGGAAAGCTACATAATGAGATAAACTGGGTTAAACCTCAAGGAACCATGTCAGGGAACGGAAAGGGGAGTAGAATTTCAACAGCTTTTGATCTTTTGTGCATTATATTCACAGTGATTTTTATAATGAATGCTCTCTGCAGGACTATCTGAGCCGTGTTCAATAATAGACAAAGAGACATTCTGTTAATGAAATAAATAGAAACTTTTTTTTATTTAAGACTTCATGCAAAAGATAAAGAATATAATATAACTCTCTCAACGTAGTGTTCATAAAGAGGTATGCAAAATAAGATCTACTCTGATCCTTATAAAAACCAAATTTCTACTAGTTTCGTGTTCAGAAATAGTCACGCAGACCCTTGTTATCTGACAGGTGGGGGTCTTTCTCCTTTGACTCCATGATGAGAGCGCAGACAACTGAATGAAGTACGTATAACTTTATGTAGGTGGTGATGACCTTGGCTTTGTTCCTGATTGGTATGCAAAGGTATTCAATAAATCTTATACCAAAGTCACTGTAGCAACTCTCTGAGTATACTGTTCTGCTTGGATACCGTAGAAAGACTCCCAATTTGCAAATAGCACCCTGTTCTTATTGCTCTTTTAATAAAATATATTCTTTTCTAAAGGACTGACATTTAAAAGTAGCTTTTCAAAAATATGACTCTATGCCTCTCCATTTTCAAACCTTCTATCCAGATGTTTCATCCAAAGTAGATTGCCAAACCGGTTGCTTCTGCAAATTTGGTACAGCATTTCTACCCAGGGAAACATCTCGACTGCAGTGCTAGTTTGTTCTCAATGCGCCCCTATACCAGTGATAGCCAAGTGGCACCTTAGATAATTTTGCAATTACTTTACCCATGATGCATAGCCATCCTAAAGATGGCCGAGTATGTTGTAAAAATTAGTTTGAAACATCTGGAACACCAAGATTATCTATCACTGCACTGCAAACAAAACGACGATCCAATCCAATGCTGCGGAAGATGTATTAAGCACAGGAAGGTTCTGTTAGATCTAAGTTGTCCCTCCACTAAGCACACCTTAGTAAATAAACTATTGTTTTCTTTTTTAATAGACAGCAGTGGTTCTGAAATATCTAGGTATAAATATGTAACAGTTAACTACCATTGCTACAGTCAGGTTTGTGCGATAAGACAGAGGCCTGGCAGCTATAGTAACAGATAAAAAAAATAAAAAGAAAGTCAGGGAAATATAATGCTTTTGTTGTCTCCCTCTCACTAGCAATTACTTACTATCCTCTGTTTAAACTGGCAAGCTAATACTACATGCGAGATCTTATTCCTGATCTTGAACGGGTCACAGATGTACAGAGCAGCGTATGGAGGGGCGACCACAAGGGAATGTCTTAGAGACAAACATTGGTAAAAACAACACAGAAAACACAGGCATAAAAGTAGTAAGGGGTTGCAGGCAGATCTCAGCGGGTAAAGCAGAGGAAATCCAGAATTCCTCCATACACTCCGGAGGGTAAGTGCCGACACAGGACAGGAAGGCATACATACATAGACAATACCCAATCAACAGACACATAAATAAAAACATTACAAGGAGAGGAGTGATTGTAACAAAAAAGGGTATTTGCCCTTCATGGCAGTTTACTGCCCTGTCCCATTCGTTCCTTCCTGTCCTGTGAAATGTATTTCCTCAGTGAGTACCAGTTCGGTAATGATTCTAGCATGAGGGTCAGTGCACTAAAGAGTGCGTGCAGTGGTGAAACTCCCCCGAGTGTTGCTACTCCTTGGAATTAAACTGGACTCTAATTGAAAATTCCAGGAAAGTTCTCTTGACCATGATGGGTGGTAGAAAGCCTTTGTCATTCTACGATTAATGATAACACTGTCATCACAGCAATGCCGCAGCTTATAAGGAAAATCTGGATCACGGAATTTCTGGAAAAGAACAAAGTAAGAACTGATTATACAAGGTATCTGTATGAACACTTACTCCTCTGTTGTACAAAGACCTTTAGAAAAGATCTTAGATTTCAGGAAGTGAATGGGCAAAAGAGCACTGGGGAGTACAGCCCAGCATTATGGTGCTATTTTAACAATTCAAAAAAAAAAAAAACCTGCATCAAAGACCCAGTGCTTTATCTGCAGATTTGAGATGAGTTTCATAGAAATATAGGACAAAAAAAAAGACTCAAATCTATCAAGTTCAACCTTTTACACATATGTATTAAAATAATTGAAACAATTTCTAATTGTGCCACAAATTAGAAAATAAAATTTCCTTACTACAAAATGTCAGCCAGGTTTCTCCTTGGATCAACAATCGGTTACCTCACATATTAACTACTTGAATATTCAGGTTTTCCAAATAATTATCTAGACGTTGTTTAAAAAGATTTGCACAATCTGATAAAACAACTTCTTTAGACAGCTAATTCCACATCTTCATTGGCAAAATTAAAATAAAAAATAAAAAAATTAAGTGGTTTGGGTGAGGAGGCCCTGTTGTTTTAACCCTACAATCTAAAACATTTTGTTTATCAGAGAACGGTAATGTTATGATTATTATTATGAATATAGAAACCAATATAAACCACGAAAAACCTTGAAAAGTATAAACGTTTATAAACTTAGTCAGATTGCATTATTGAGCACGCCTCTCAGCTAGAAACAGAAACAGGGGATCATTGTGTAGCAATAGGAGAGACAGACACCGGAGCCAGCTCTCCGTGATCACACTGATCAGACTCCCTCTCTTCTTCCCCTGTTAGGATGTTGCTGGTGATCTTACAATTGAACATGTGTAAATTTGTCAAGCTTGCTCAATCACTTTTTCCAGCATTCCTAAGAATAGGACAAAGATTAGGGGGACCAGTGTCCCCCCTGTAGTGGTTGTTTAAAGCAAGAAAGAAGCAGGCATATATAAAAACAAACATATATATCTGATTTCATTCAGCAAGCAGAGCGAGGCAGCTGTCATTCAAAGCTAAAGTGATGCATGTCCCTTTAACACACTTTAAAGGGACATGTCTTCCTGACAGCTACTAGAGGGTCCTTCTGCTGAATAACCGAGTCAGACTTGGCTATTTAATCAAATGACTCTCACAGAGAGCATTTGATTGGCACAGCACAGTCACTAGCCTCCCAATGCTTCTCTACAGGGAAGAATGGGATTGGCTGAGAACATCAGAATTGACCTGCAGCATAGAGACCATTGCAGCGCGCGTTGTAAGGCATGTTAACAGCTTTTTTTTATGTGGGGCCCTATAATGTGCATGGTGAGAGGAACACTATTCTGTTAGGAATATGTTTTTATTTCTTATAAGTGGCTCTGTCACTTTCTAGGATCTTTGTACATTTTGGGGGGAAAAAACAGACGTGACATCTTTTACTGGTGTGTGGTGGCCCTAGGGTGCAATGGAAGTCAGTTATACTTAACTGATGGTGTCTCCCATCTCAGAGTTGTACTCTTGCACGTGTGTGAGAATACAATAGATATTGTCTCGCAATTAGTAAGACAATGCCTTATTCCTCCCACCGTGCTAGTGACAGTTCAAAAACATGACAGCAGTAGCGCTGCCTTTTGTCAACTTGATAGTTTACCACGAGACAACGGAGAACCTATGTTGTCTTTTCATCTTTTGACTCTGTAGGAATAATTGAAGTTCCAACAAAGTCTTTACAGGCATTTCATAAAGATTTTGAGGGGAGCGACAGAGCCACTTTACTCGGTACTTTTCATCCTCTGTACTGTGCTATTAATGAACAGGTTATAAAAGAAGTGTTTGTATATCATATCCGCCCTCTTAGCCAAACATGTAAAGGTTCTCTAGCCAGACATTTAAACTAATACGTCCTACATAGTTTTCATCCTGGCCAATTAGACCAACATCTAGCAATTTAGTTTTTAACATAACTTTACACTGCAAAGTAGAGACAGTTTTTTTAAATGTGCATTATTTATTATTATAGAGTGTTTTACTGACATGAATTTCTAACATACATCTAGGGTTTTAGTCATAGTTGGACAATGTTTGCTGTAAATTTCGGCCTAGTTCTCATTTCACACCTTCTTGCCAGTTAGTAAATAAGACCCATGGTGTCCCAGTGGAGTGTGTCATTAACCCTTACCGTGCATTCTTCTCCTCTAAAAGGTCTGGCAGGACGGTCACCAATGCAATGTACAGGAACCCCCCAGATGTGAAGGGGAGAATCCAAGCCACGGTTTCTCCTGTGAGGGACAAAAGCACAAAATTATCAGGACACCCTGAATGTAGAAATCTCCAGGTGCATATTAACAACTGCTACAATGAGACTTCACTGGTCCTTTTTTTCTTACAATTATTCTACTTCCCGGATACAGATTTATTTGAGAGCATGTTACACTATGGGGAACATGGCAATATCACTGAAATCCTTCAAATATATAAAGGGAAATGGTGTACTAGTGAGAGGTCAATAAACCCTATCCTTCCAGTACAATAAGGGAGCACAGTAATTTGTTGAGCTGTGACTTTGTATATCAGTATTCTCCGCTCCTGCACTAATTTCCAAAGGCCACTGCAAAGGCTTTACCTGTCCCCTTTGGTGACTGAGCACAGACGGCGAAGCCTGCTCCCAGTATTCCGCCCATTGCGGTTGTCAACTGCATCTTAGCAGCACTCCAACGGTCAAACCCAGCACGGAGCAGGATGGCAAAATCCCCGACCTAATGGCGGAGTAGAAGATTAAATGGATGAGGCGAATGATGCCAGTCGTAAACATAGCATTTATAATCCACTTGCAGAAATTGCACTTACCTCATGGGGAATCTCATGTAACAGAATAGCGATGGTTGTCAGGACCCCCACCTAGACAATGCACAAGTAGAAAGCATTAGAAGGGGACCACACATGTAGATATGTACATTAGACAGGGCCACACAGGTAGAAAAGAGCATTTTCAATGGTATACAACAAATGTTTACTCTACCCACCCCCTCTCTCTGTACTTTGCCCCTCCTGGCTGTAAATACCTAAGAACGGTTTCATCCCCATCCCTGCTCCTTAGGCCTCACTTCACACATATGGAACAAAGCAATACTGAATCTCTCCATTCATCATCTCCCACCAACATTCAGACCTCACTTCACACACCCAGAACCCAGCAATACTGAATCTCTCCATTCATCATCTCCCACCAACATTCAGACCTCACTTCACACACCCAGAACCCAGCAATACTGAATCTCTCCATTCATCATCTCCCACCAACATTCAGGCCTCACTTCACACACCCAGAACCCAGCAATACTGAATCTCTCCATTCATCATCTCCCACCAACATTCAGACCTCACTTCACACACCCAGAACCCAGCAATACTGAATCTCTCCATTTCTAATCTCCCACCAACATTCAGGCCTCACTTCACACACCCAGAACCCAGCAATACTGAATCTCTCCATTCATCATCTCCCACCAACATTCAGACCTCACTTCACACACCCAGAACCCAGCAATACTGAATCTCTCCATTTCTAATCTCCCACCAACATTCTGGCCTTACTTCACACACCCAGAACCCAGCAACACTGAATCTCTCCATTTCTAATCTCCCACCAACATTCAGACATCACTTCACACACCCAGAACCCACTCACCCCTCTTCCAGCCCACTCAGGTTCCTACTAAATATATAGCATGCTCCTCCAGATGTTTGAGAGTCTCATTTAATTACCTCCTCATACACACACACACACACACACACACACAAAGAAAGAAGTCTTACATGGGAACACACACAAAGAAAGGAGTCTTACAGGGGAACACACACACAGAAAGGAGTCTTACAGGGGAACACACACAAAGAAAGGAGTCTTACAGGGGAACACACACACACACACACACAAAGAAAGAAAGGACTCTTACAGGGGAACACACACACACAAAGAAAGAAAGGACTCTTACAGGGGAACACACAAAGAAAGAAAGGACTCTTACAGGGGAACACACACATACACACACAAAGAAAGAAAGGACTCTTACAGGGGAACACACACACACACACAAAGAAAGAAAGGACTCTTACAGGGGAACACGCACAAAGAAAGGAACATGACAGAGCAGCACACACAAAGAAAGGAGCCTTACAAAGCATTACACACTTGTAGAAACATACATTACATGACACTAACAAATGTGTGTGTTACAAAAGACCGCACACAGAAAGAGAACGTACATAAGACCACAAACGTGTAGAAAGATGCATTAATTAGAGGACACTATACATGTAGAAACGTAAGTGACCACAAAGGAAGTTTAAACGTCCCCTACCTTTTTACTGACCAAGAAACCGCCGGCTACCGCCATGCCATGGGTGAAATTATCAATAGTGTTTGCCAACAGGTTAAGATAGCCACTGACCTGCAATGAATGAGAGAAGAAAGAGTTATAAGGAAATAATAGAGATAAAATAAAGAAACAACAAAGCAATGTAAAGTAAATGCCAACACATTGCTTGTATAGATCATGATTTCTAATATTGCAGAATAGTAAGCAGTGAGTCTGAAGGGACATTATCTATACACCAAAAATCTTTTATTAAACTAAACTTGTTTTGGTGCATAGAAGGTCCTTTTAAAGAAAACATTCAGTAATACACACTTACTTTGATGTGGCTGTTCCGTTCTGCATCGTTCCTTTTTTTAACCGTGTCATGTTTTCCATTCAACAGATTCACCGGTGTCTTGTTCTACAACAGATTGCTAACGTTAGAGTGCAAACTCTCTGCAGAGTCCCCAGTAAATAAATATTGGGAAATTAAACTATTAAAAGACTGAGAAATTAAACTATTATCCTCCTATTGTTTCATTAAATCACAGAGCCTGCCATTCCTTTTACTGTAAAAGGTAGCATCGTAAAATATGGTTATGGAACCTTCTGCCCTTCAGATGCTTATATAACTACAATTCCCATGATCCTCCACCACTCCATTTGCCATAATCATAGCTGGTAGTGGAATAAGGGAGTTCTGGTTAACCAACCTTTGAAGGTCAGCCTCCCCAGCTGACTGAGACTGCATTATCTATGCACCAAAACTGCTTCATTAAACTTAAGTTGTAGTATCCCTTTAAATTTGGGAGGGGGAGGGAGGACAACCAAACCCAGTAATCAAACATTCTACGTAAGGTTCTTAAAATACCAAGATTCAGAATTCACCACCCTGTAAGAGTGTGCCGGCTTTGCAGAGCTTTTAGATCACGTCTATATGAATGTATGTGCACTGCTAGATGTCATGAACAAAATGCCCCCTTTATGATGGTCCCAGAAAAACAGACAAGAACTCACAAGAAAAGGAAGGAAGGAGGGGCAGTTTGGCACCACATTTATTCACAGAACTACGTCACACATCAATGGGACATTTCAATAGTTATTGCTTTTAGGGATTAACAAACACAATTTGAAATAGGAACATGTATATATACTCATTAACCCAATATTTTATCCCCCCTGTCTTTAAAGTGTGGTCTTTGTGTCAGTTTTACTAAAACAGGGGGGAAAAAAATGTAAAAACAAAATACCAAAACAATACAAAAAAATATTCTACAGACAGTAGGGAGCTGTGAATGATAAATTTGAGTCCCCAGTAGGGAGCTGTGAATGATAAATTTAGTGATTTTTGAAAATCAGTGGAGCTATATTAAAAGCAGACAAACTGTGCAAAATGAGTTCAAACAAAATACCTCTATTTCTTCATTTAATATTCATGGCTGGGAATGAACAGCAGTACAGCAGGGGAAAGACAACACCACAATAACGCTGACGCATGTCATGCCTTTTAAATTAATAAAGCCACGGCTCCTCCTCTGGCTGAAATTATCATAATTAATTATCTCAGCCAATCCATTGCTTCCCCACTGGGGATCATTGAAGGGTGGCTAGTGCACTGCACAATCAATATATCCTCCTAAAAATGTATTGGCTCATGGCATCCCTATGGACAGCGTGAAGACTCCAAACGTTGGATTGCAAGGATTGAAGGACTTACTCAGGAAGCACCTTAGTGGCTGTTTGAGTGACAGCCAATTAGGCAGAAAAGGCAGTGTTAACATTGCTGAGCATACACAGAGATTCTCTTTGCCCCAGAACCCCTACATTAAATTGTAGTGGATCTAGAGCTTGTTGTGTTCCTGTAAGATACAGGGGGCATAAGGAAAGGAAATTGAAAGGAAAGGAAATATGACAGTTTTGCCTTAAAGGAGCACTATAGTGCCAGGAAAACAAACTTGTTTTTCTGGCATTATAGGGTTGTTAGGCCCCCATCCTCAGGCTCCCCCACCCGCTGGGCTGAATGGGTTAAAACCCCTTCAGCCAGTTACCTTTCTCCAGCGCCAGGCTCCCTCTGTGCTGGGAACTCTACACCCCCTGCTGACGTCATTTCCGAATACGCATACGCGCGCGCATTCAAACAGCCCATATGAAAGCATTACTCAATGCTTTCCTATGGACGTCAGCGTCTTCTTACTGTGTTTTTCACAGTGAGAATCGCGGAAGGGGCCTCTAGTGGCTGCCAGTGAGACAGCCACTAGAGGCTGGATTAACCCTCACTGAAACTGCTATGTTTTCAGCTGCAGGGCTAAAACTAGAGGGACCTGACAACCAGACCACTTCATTGAGCTGAAGTGGTCTGGGTGCCTATAGTGGTCCTTGAACAGAATGAAAGTAAATGTCCCTGTGCCATTCTTTATACAGGAAGCATAGATTGTTATGGTGCTTGGAGGGTCCCTAAATCAAACTCTGGTTTGTTGCAGTTTTGAACATGATACTATTTCTGTTGTACTAGATGTTTCCAGGCAGCCAACCGGCACTGTTCCACAGTCACAATGCATTTCACTAAAAATAACGTAACATAACCATATATGTATATAAGTGCAGCTTTCACTGAACATGGTATGATTGTAAACAATAACATACAGTCAACAAATACATTATTTCTATTCATATACATATCCTTGAGCTCGCAAAGGAATGTATACCCCTCTTATCTGACTATCAATACACAGAAAACAAAGAGATCAGAAACAACGCTATGGCACCAGAGTAAACTGACGTCAAGTGTCTAATACAACTGCAGACTCGATGAGAGGGGCTACATAAACATGCTCTAATCCACGAGTTCAGCAGAAAACAGCGTGGCTGAAATGTAGGTCTTCTACAACTTCCCTATTGTGGCTCAAATTCTGCAAATCGGTACTTGAAATAATGAGACAATATCATTTTAGACTACTGGATTGTTGGAACATACACGTTGTGCTTTATATATTCCTAAAAGCTGCAGTGAATCACAACCCACAATAATTCTGTCTATTTCCATAGTGGAACTGTTAAACAATCCCATCTCCTCTCTCCTTGCGAGGAGTATCAAGAGTCCCTTTTAACAAGGTCATATCAATGCATGGAATGTGTTTTTCTAATGTCCTGCATGTGAAGTCTGGCTGTCTTGGTAAGGCCACTCACAGACAGGACTTAGTACAGAACAAAACCAGGATACACCACCGACAGTGACGAGGCCGGGATTACAATCTTAACACATATACATCATGGATACTCATGAAGTAGTGAACATGCATTAAAATAGGGACAATAGATATACAGCGGTGGTCTGGTAATCAAAACATTACTCCAAAACTTCTAAAGCTGTGATGCAGCAGTCAGAGAATTGGTAACCTTCATCTTGTAACCACAATGATAAGATGACCATGTGATAAGTGAAATAGGGATCTTGTATTTAAAGGGTTAATAGACTTGTAGGCAAGTATAAGCAGATATCTGGCAATCACAGGGTTAATACGAGCATAACTAAGTATCAAGCACTGATATAGCAGCCATGAAGTAGACGCAACTATGTGTAAAGCAGTGATCTGGCAGTGATTGGGTTAAAACCTGCAACATTTCTTTAATGCAGTTTCGTGGGCGTTTGAGGGTTAAGCAAGCTCACAAAAGTTTCACTATGTCCTACAAAAAAAACACAGGAAAGGGGGCAGAATCAGGGGATGTGAGACAGACGATGCCCTGTTAAACTGTGAAGTTCCGTGATAGAACACTGAATGTGATGTGAGCTCAGAGCTGGCTGTGCACACACTATATACAGTATGCAGGATATTGTGGGGCCAAGCTACACAGAGTCAGAGCGCATTCTTTCCTTATGTAAGCACATTACTATGCAATAACGTTCCCTTTTCCCTTACAAAGTCCGTTCCATGTGACTCACTCACTGGTTTGGGATTGGTGCCCAGCTGCGGCTGCTGCTCGGATTCCTCATCGGAAAAGGTCTTCTCCAGAATTAGGAAAGTAAGAAAGCCAATGATGACCCAAAGCCCCAGGAGCTTCTGCTGCTGCAGAGACTGGGAACTGCCTACAAGAAGACAAAACACTTTCACACAGCTGGATCTGAGATATCCCCTGCAGTAACATATAATACACCCTGCTTTGTGCCTGGACTTGTTACACGCAGACATGTATACACAAGACCTCTACCAATCCATCAAATATTTAGTTAAATGAACATGCACTAAGTAAACTTATTAAGCAGGATATAATATCCACAGAATGCTGAGCATTAGAAAACGTTGGGACCGCCAAGGGCTAAGAGCGAACAATTTTATTTTAGTTACTAAGGTGTCCTAGTAGGGAAGGAGTGCAAGTGGCAAACAGACCAGCTCCATTTCCAGACAATAATCATGTGCGAGTCATCGCACAATCACCACTGCATAGAACAATCCCAGTCTTCTCCATGTGAGCTGTTTACGGTTTGACTATTTAGGCATAAAAATTTAAATTCACTTTAAAAGCCAGACAATTCACACTTTAGTGAATAACTCTGTTTAAAGCCAACTATGATTCCTGCAATAACACTACCTTTTTTAAATGTAATCTTCCTTTTAAATCGTCATTAAAAGTACAGTATCAGCACCATAACTAGAATATTCTAGTGGTTATGGTGACAGGGGTAAACTGTTTTTTAAATGGTTTGAAAATCACCTGTGTCCCCTGGTCTCCAGCAGTTTGACCTTCAAAATTTTAAAGGAACACTCCAGGCACCATAACAACTTCATGGGAAAGAAGTTATGGTGCCAGTTTACCTTAGGGTTTAAACCATAAACAACCGGTCTTCTCTGCCCGCTCCACATCAGTTTGAATCCAAAGCTTGAAACAGAAAATCTCGGACTAGGCACCACAGGCAGCTTGAGAGCACCACCTGACATTCTTAGTTTATCAGTAGCTCCCCATTTACAAAGCATACGGTTTTCTCAAGCCATTTTGTGAATGGGGAGCTGCTGCTGGCTTGATACAAAAAGCCTCGCACTCCAATGTATGTGGAGGGGCAGTGCTGACCAGCGCAGGACAAAATACTTTTGGGTTCATTGTTGAACCCCTGAAGGTTAGCCGGCTTCAGGGACCTTCCAGCACCATACCTACTGTATTCAAATGAAGTTGTTATGGTGCCTGGAGTAATCTTTCATTAGTCCTACACTACTAGCCAAGCCTGGAGGGTCCATGGCACATTCACCAGGGGTAAATTTCTACCTGCCAGTGCTAAATATTTACTTGCCAACAGCTAGTGCCAAGTGTAAATTTTAAGCCTCGATAATAAAAGATTAAACAATGGGGTAAATGTGTTAGAAAATGAATTATGTACAGTGGTAACTACAGAGCCACAATAGATTTACCAATCAAAGCCACACCTGATATACAGTTGCATTAAGTCTGCAACATTAAGTAAGCTATTCACACAAATAAGACTCATGTTGAAAATTAACCTATAATATTATATTAATATTTTACCTCTTTATACCCCATCTGCCGGCCAACAGGTAAGGGCATGTCTATTAAATACTAAAACTAATGTAAGGGCAGCCATTGCTGCAGTTATTTCTCAGGTCCCATAGTGCTGGGTTCTGAGAAATAACTAGTGGAGATAAAGTCCCCCCCTCCCACATGCCCATCGGGTGATGCATAGTATAAGCAACCGAAGGCGTATGAATACGGCAGAGGGATCTGGTGTTCTGTGAAAGGAGGAGCCAGATTTTCAGGTACTTTTACATACACTTAATTTTTTTTCAAATGCCATATCTTTACATTACATGAAAAAAAAAGTAAAATTATGGTGACCTTTAATTACTATGATTGTCCCATTATGGTTGAAGCCAAATCTCAATACCGCTTCATTTAGAAACTTCTTTTAAAACCAGGAGCATTTTCTCCTGAAACAGGATTAAAGGACCACTCTAGGCACCCAGACCACTCCAGCTTAATGAAGTGGTCTGGGTGCCAGGTCCAGCTAGGGTTAACCCTTTTTTTTTTTATAAACATAGCAGTTTCAGAGAAGCTGCTATGTTTATAAATGGGTTAATCCAGCCCTCAAATCCTCTAGTGGCTGTCTCATTGACAGCCGCTAGAGGCGCTTGCGTGCTTCTCACTGTGAAAATCACAGTGAGAACACGTAAGCGTCCATAGGAAAGCATTGTAAATGCTCCCTGCCCTGCGCTGGAGAAAGGTAAGTTTTAACCCCTTTCCTCTCCCCAGAGCCCAACGGGAGGGGGACCCTGAGGGTGGGGGGAAACGAGTATGTTTTCCTGGCACTAGAGTGGTCCTTTAAATTTAAAGGTTGCAATTAACCTTTTCACTGCCAAAGTACTTTTTTTTTTTAACTTGGGATGTCTGGCACATAAAAGTAGGATAAAACTGCAATTTTATATACAGATATAGAAATTTACCCAATTATTAAATGTTCTTGGTACACTTGCAGTATTAACCCCTTAAGGACACATGCCATGTGTGACATGTCATGATTCCCTTTTATTCCAGAAGTTTGGTCCTTAAGGGGTTAAAGACATGGAAGGAAATATTAGCATAGAATTAGAAATACAATTTATTTTCCACATGCCCTTTGTGCGACAACATGATATAAATAAAGATGGTTTGCTACCCTTTTGATTTTGTCAGGAACCTAAAGCTATTTGAAATTGTGAAAGGACGGAGCCATGAAGTTTGAACTACAAAAGCTGCTGTGTAGTGTTAGAATGTGGAGGGAGCAAAGGGTAGAAAAGTAATTAAGACTTTAGGTGCTTAATTTGAGCTTAATTAGACAGTGTTTTTTTTATATGTCCATGCTTACTGTTTTCAAACATTAAAACGCATAATTTAAGATATAATGTAAAAACATTAAAACTCACATTTTATGATATTAGCAGACATTAATTCCTTATGCACACGTGACAGGGACATTCAGTATATGCAAGTGACGGGGGGCATTTGCAATGTGAGAAGCACATGCAATGTGATTTACTGTACACAAAACAAATTGCATTTCTATCAATTTAACAACATTTAGATGGTCAGCTACATGAAATAAGTATCAGGAATAATCTTATTTTACGGTAACTACAATGAATATCTGTGGCACCTCTGCCAGTGATATGAGTAACTGTTGCACCCAAGGCAGCTTTTAGTGAATATACATACAATAACTGCCTGGGATGTCCCTGGCAGATAATAGTAAATATGCAGTTAGTACATGTGGCTTCCCTACTGGGGACAGTACCTGTGGTGGCACTGCATGTGTACGCCCAAGCCTCCGGCAGAAGGTGCACAAACACATCGCCCAGTAATCCACCAATGGCAAAGCTTAACAGCTGTTTCAATCTTTTGGAGCCTCCTATAAGAAGAATGATTGCTCTCATTAGTAATACACAAATAGTCCATCGTCATCATAGCATAACAGGAGCAGCAAGCAGTTGTTTTTTCTTATTGATAATTTTAGCGCTTGGCTTGGCAAAACTGCCTTCACTATTGTTTCTATATTGTACTCAGTGAAAACATTTGTTCTAAAACATATAAAGGCAAGGGATGTACGCTCTCACCTTCAGACTTCAGAGATGCACCTGCTTCAATAGGAATTACCAGAAGGGGGAGTACGCCACTGAAGCCCACCAGCAGAGAACCAATCAGAGAGCAGATCCAGGCATCCAAAGAGGAGAAGGTAGAATTCTCACATGCACGGCTGCCTGGGGGGCATGCTGCAGTGAGCCAAGGGCCCAGACATACCAAGCACAGCCAAGGTACTAGTCTGCCCCACATCATCCTGCAAGAATTGGGATCTACATTATTATCAGGAAGGAACAATGTAACATGCAATTTTATTCACTATTGAGGGAAGGGAAGTTACAAAGTAATTGCAAATTTGAAAAACAAAATAATTAACAGAAAAAAATCCCTTGTAAATTCTCTAGCATTGCTAGGTTAGTACCATAGACAAGTTCAGGAATTTCTGTAAAAATATGATTTATTAGAATATTACTTAGAAAAAGGCAAAACATTTAGTTTGGAAGTGTCTAATTTAAAGTTTTTGCAGAGCTAATGAGGTAAGACCGCTGTAGTGGTTATGCTGTCAGTATATCCTTTGCCTTCCCCCACTTGTGTGTCAAATGGTCTTTAAGAGACCCATAACCCGGACTCTCGCTCTTCATATTGCTAATGCGGCACTTACAACCCAGCTTCAAAAATATCGCTTCTCTCAATAATTGGATGGCATTCACTGTGTAAGGGCGTCAACATGTTCAGCCGATGAATGATGTCCAAACTTGGACGAAATTGATGTTCCTAAGGTAGAAGTGACATTAGCGATATGGACAGCAAGAGTTCTACAGCTCCTGGAGACCTCTGTGTCAAATCTCTCAAAAAACAATTTGGCAGAGAATCGGCAGGCTGTAGTGGTTATAGTGCTTAGTGTTCCAGCGTAAGGCACTATAGATTTTGGTGTTAAGAGTCTGATTCTGCAGTAATTTGTCTGTGAAAAGAGAGTGTTTACACTGAGCTGTAAGGATGCCTCAAGTGGCTTCACTCATACAGCCATTAAAGGGGCTTCCTCCTCACAGTCCTGCAATGTTTGAAGGACTGACGCTTGGTACTCTTGTGCTCCCTATAAATGCATTAGTAGAATACATCTGAATTGTGCAACAAGGTGATTGCCACGCATGTGCAGGAGTCCTCCCCTCAACGCTTCTCTGTTGAGAACCATTCGATTGGCGTACATCATCGTAATGATAATCTTAGAAAGGGGCAGAGCGGCTGATGTGATGAGACCCGTGCGGTAAAGGATATAAGGTTTCTCTTTATTTTCTAGGGTGGGGTGTGTGGGGAGGGCTTTTTTTTGTCAATCTGTTTTCTTATTCACAGACGGTAAAATGGTATACAATGCAGCAGTTGCAATAAGAAGATACAGCCAGCATTGTATATAATAGAGGGGGGAACTTTAAATCTAAATATGCAGGAACAAACGAACATAAAACATACATTGTTGTATTTCAATTTTAGACTTTTCCTTTATTGTAAACAGTAGTTGTGAATGTTGAGAATATGTGTCAAGTTTTCGTCTTATCTCAGTCTCCAAGTCAACAAGTCCTTATCTTTCTGCATTGCATGAATCAATATAATTCTTAGAGTTTAAATCCCCTTTGAGAGCTCATTTGAATTATATCCTTGACACTGAGTATCTTCAGAGCCATAATCCTGCTATAATTTTAGGTGTTTACGAATTAACTCAAACAAGCTTTTAATGTATGCATCAGTTAGCAATGCATTTATGTTAACGGAAAACTAAGCACCAGAACCACTTAGGTTTAATGTAATGGATCTGGTGCAGATAGAGTGTCTCTCTGGCCTCAGCAATGTAAATAAGACTTTATATTAAAGATACATGTAATTTAACTACAGGTCGCTCAATGCATCGGGGTGCAAACAATCAGAAAAGACTGTTGGCATTTGCCAAATCAAATTTCCACACTATTCATCAAGCCGTTAGAGTAGATTCTAGCCGATCGTGCATATGAAACTAGTATTTTTTATTAAAGGTAATAAAATGTCATGCACAGATTAAGACTTTTCAAATGGTTTAATATTTATATTTTTTGATTAGCTTTTCAAGTGATTTCATAATTTGAAAAATATTTTAATATACGATATAGTGCTATTTAAATATTTAAAATTAAATACAGTATATAAAAACAAAACGTATTGAAACGTTTAGTCAAATATATTACATTGAGGCGTAAGTTAGAAGCCTTCCTGATCTTGTTTCTGCAGCAAGAGAAGGGGTACAGCTTTAATGTATAAAACAAGGCAAGCCATATGGGCCTGCAGACTAAGCAACATTTTAGGAGAGGTGTCTTTCTGGCTCCTGGAATTCAAGTGACAGTTCCCCTTAGGGAGCCTGATACGAGATGACAGAATGTGAAAAATGCAATGGTATACAAACGTTCTTTTCACATCTGGTTAAAGTGAACGTGTACTGTGGAAAATGTACATATTTGTTGGGAAACAGCAGACAAATCCATGTTCCATATGTAAAATGGCATTCCCCTCTCGTTGTAGTGGAATTGTGAGTGATTATTTGAGGTTAGAAAATACGTCCTAAGAATAAATTTAAAAATAAAACAGCTTCCATCTAATATATGTGCCAGTTTTCAAACATTCTCCTAAAGAAACAGATATTAATACTAAGGTTTAGCATCACCATTCTACTAAGTAAGATCCCAGCAAGTGAGTAAGAGAGCCTTGTTTAATAGCACCTAGAAAATTAAGCTCTAGGCCAGAAAAGGGAAATAGACACAATTTCAAATCTCTTCATTCTCATCTACCCACAGAGAAACACCTTGCCCATAAAAACCCACACACCTCTCCCTCTCCTGCCAAACAAATAAGCCACACACTACTTTCACAATGTAAACCTCATTGTGGACAAAAATGGAAAACCCACCTTTTGATTATCACTGCTATACACAAAACAAAAAGCACGTTCAGTAATGTGTATTATGGCTAATGAGGTACAGCTCAGCCTGTATCACAGAATGCCTTTCAGCCCTATACATCAGTATCTTTACTTTAGCTATGGAAGGACTATGTTTCCTATGATGCTCAGCTAGCTACGCTGCAGACTAAACCTCTTGACCACCGGCATGCCAAAGGATGTCCAAAGTAGCGGCAGTACCAAAGGCTAGCCATCACTAAAGTATAAAGGCCAATGTAAGAGATGTCAAGTTCACATTTCGTAAGATTCTAATTATATAAGAGATTAGGTAGAGAATAGCCTTTTAATTACAATACATATCCATTTAAAGTCACAATGGATTGTTTTTAATTTTAAATAAAAACACAAAAATACATGGGTGGATACAACCTACAAATGTTTAAAGTGGTTTTTTTTTTTGGTTGTTTTTTTTTTTAAATTCAATCACATAGTATAAATATTAGATATCTGCATCCACATCAGGAGCACTGTACAAACACACAAAAAAATTTCTAAAATGCCCTCTCCAAAAACCAACAAACCTGCATTACCCCTTCTTAAAGGAAAACTGTCATAGTTTATTATTTTTACGGAAAATCGTTTATTTTTTTTGAATTACAAGTAATATCTATTGATTTGTATTTATTTTGTAATGAATATATAATTTAACTCTTTAATTAATCCCCTGCCTTATCTTTGCGCTGTTTAACCATGTTTGTAAGAAGCAGCACGTATCTGCTAAAACAACGTACGTGTAGGTGTGTTACCATCCCTGTGTATATTTTACAGACACTCTGAGCGTATGCAGAATATCTGTGTTTGTTAATGCATACTGCATCTTTATTACCTGCACATAGGTTGTGCCTCTGTGAAAACAAGAATTAAACACAGGCGATATATTAAAATGGATTTACTTATATGAAAGCAATACAAAATAATGCACACACAGGCTATTTTACATGTAAACTTTTATTACAAATACCATTAAAAAATAATTATGACAGTTTTCCTTTAAAACTACTGCCAGACGGCCAAACCTCTCAATTCTTCTGTCCGATCTCATCCTCTCCACTACCTGCAGACATTTCCCACCCATTCTCACACTCCCAAATCATAAAAGCTTTCTTTCCACATCAGCTCTAAAGCCAACAGATAGGATCTTGCTTTAGCTGTATATTCATATACAAATTTTTATTGCAGGGGTGGTAACTATTGTTACATTCAAAGAATTCATAAAAGCATGCAAACTTGTGTCAGGAGAAACATCAAAACAATAAATGTTATTTATAAGGTCTAACTGTATTGTATCTGTTCTCATAACACCTACTGACCTGGCAATCATTGTCTCATGACCTGACTGGGCCCCTGTGATTTAAATCATCCTAAAACCTCTTGTATTCTTAGTATCAGGGCAATATTTGCAATAAGATAGCTGTGAATATGTTATATAATAGGGGCTCTCTGACCCAAGTATATGAGCTGGTCTTTCCATGACTTTACACCCCTAACATTCATTAAGAAGTTCTAACCAGCCTCCCCAGCCCCCCACAATCTTACCTGGCCATCTCTCCTGCACACAGACACTGCCACCCTAAGCCTGCCCACCAACCTTACCCTCCCCTGTCCACTGCCACTTACTGTACTCTACCTAGCAATCATCACATTGCTCCACCCTTACTTACTGCACTGAGACTCCGTTATATCCCTTCACACCTCCTTAGCCTCTCCTTGACCCTTACTGGCTTTCAATGAGTCCTCTTCACTGAATGGAACAGAACAAATATGTAATCAAGGAGACTAGCCTCCATCCCACTCCCAGATATCACCTGCCCACTCACACACTGAGTTTGGAGTCCACTACCAACTCACACAACTCTCAGCTTACCATTCACTAACTTCCAGCTTGGTATCAATTACCAAATCACACAACTCTCAGCTTACCATTCACTAACTGAGTTTGGCATCCACTACCAAATCACACAACTCTCAGCTTACCATTCACTAACTTCCAGCTTGGTATCCACTACTAACAGAACTCTCATCTTGGTATCAATTACCAAATCACACAACTCTCAGCTTACCATTCACTAACTGAGTTTGGCATCCACTACCAAATCACACAACTCTCAGCTTACCATTCACTAACTTCCAGCTTGGTATCCACTACTAACAGAACTCTCATCTTGGTATCAATTACCAAATCACACAACTCTCAGCTTACCATTCACTAACTGAGTTTGGCATCCACTACCAACTCACAACTCTCAGCTTGGTATTCCCTAGCAACTCCCACAACTCTCAGCTTACCATGCACTAACTCTCAGCGTGGCATCCACTACCAACTCACAACTCTCAGCTTGGTATCCACTACCAACTCACACAACTCTCAGCTTACCATTCACTGAGTTTGGCATACACTACCAAATCACACAACTCTTAGCTTGGTATCCACTAACAACTCTATGCTTACCATCCACTACCAACTAACACAACTCTCAGCTTGGTATGCATTACCAACTCACACAACTCTCAGCTTTCAACCCACTGTCCACTCACATACTTTCAACTTATCAACTACCCACTCACAAACTCTCAGCTTGCCATTTACTACCCACTCACAAACTCTCAGCTTGCCATTTACTAGCCACTCACAAACTCTCAGCTTGCCATTTACTAGCCACTCACAAACTCTCAGCTTGCCATTTACTGGCCACTCACAATCTTTCTAATGTGCCCTCAATAATCAATTTAATCCATTACCAGCTCAGACACCCACCCCACTCTCATCAAGCCATACAAATCCTCCACTCACACTGAGAAACCCATTCACCTACCCACACCCAGGTATCAACCCATCCCTAACTGTCCTCCACTCACACTCAGTGAGTGCCTCCTCCAGCATCCCATGTAATCCTCAGCTCAGAGATTAATTAAAGCAGTATTTACCGCTCTCAGTTCTCCTCTCGGACCCTGCCATAACCGGACTCCTCCACCCCTCTCCCCCCTATCTCCACCCAGCTCAGCAAGCCACGTGTCACCCTACACCGGAACCAATAGCCCTGCGCCGCGACATCCAGGGGACGGCTTCAGCGGGACACTTCCGGCAGCAGCGCCATGGGGGAATGTAAATAAAGAGAGACATTTCCGGCAATTTAAATTTATTTTATTATTATTAATTCCTCCTTCCCTCCCTCCAAAGTACAATGTTGACACCCAGAATAAATAGTCTAATTGAATGTACTGGTAACTAGTGAGATAGGGTCTCTCTTGGTAAGAGTTGAGATTTTTTTAAAGCAGCCATTTTTAAAGGAACACTCCATTCCCCATGTATTTTTAAAGCACTATTTGGTTGATATACACTTAATGAAAAATGTATGCATTGGGGGGGTGGGGGGAGGATATCTAAAAACAGCTTGTAAAAGCTGCAGATATCTTGTCTGCAGCCTTTGTAAGCCATCCCATTGTACAGTGTCACGGAATCTGATGGCGCTATATAAATAATAAAATAATAATAATAATAATCCCTTTTCCCGCTACAACCAACATTTTGGCAAGCACCAAAAGAAAATGGGTTCTACATTATTAACCCCTTAAGGACCAAACTTCTGGAATAAAAGGGAATCATGACATGTCACAAATGTCATTTGTCCTTAAGGGGTTAAAGGTTAATTCTTACCAGCATAACTAAACTGTCATCTTACTTAAGTGGTGCAAAGACCCCATCCCTGCAGCCAAACATTAAATTCTGGAGGTAAATATCTTTTTATTTCTCTATGTTGAGCTGGGTGAAGTTTTCTTCCTACAAATAAAGCTGCTGTTCTTTACCATCACTGGAGTCCTGCATTGTGTGTCCATCGGTGAAACAACAGAAGGGATCACTTAGCCCCCCACTACTATCGGGGGAGGCACCATAGAGCGCTATTTTCACGTAACCTTGTGAGTGCATTTCATTAACACAATTTGTTTGTTTTTTTAAATTGTATTACACTTTGTATGTTTTTTGTTCTAGATTTACAGCCGTATACCAATCTCTTTGGTTGTTTTGTACTCTTGCTGTGTAAAGGTCATTTTCTCTGGGTAGTGACCTGGGAGGCTGTCACACTGTATTTTTTAGATAAGTAATGATTTTCACTTTTTGGGCATATTTAGTGCCTATATATTGTTTTCTAATTTATAAAAGTGCCAATTTCTATTGAAATCTACACTTTGTTTGCAATATGAAAAAAACACACTCAGCAAGCTAAAGTGGTTCAGGGCTCCCAAGTGTCCCTTTAATTAGATTCATTAAAACAATATGTTTTTGCAGTGGTGTATTTTCGATTTGTGCTTCCCTAGGCATGATGAAACTCGAGCATACCCCAAATTTAAATTTGCCACGTCCTTTCCTGTCAAGACTGCACCTCTTCCTAGTAAAGACCAACAGGCACTTTGGCTGACAGACACTCCCTCACTGATGCATGCACTGACATATACTGACTGAAAGATACAGTAACACACACACCTGTTTAACCAAAACACACTGGCAGAGACACACTGACACACCCACTCACCAACAGGCACACACTCTCAGGTACACTGACATACAATGACAGACACACTCACTGATTTTACAAACTCCGACAGACATACACAATTACTCAGACACACACACACTGATTTGACACACTGACAGACACACACAATCACTCAGACACACTCTGACAGACACACACCAACTGACAGATACTCAATGACAGACACACACTGACAATCTCATACACACACACACAAACAAAGAGAGATACACACTGGGAGAGCTGGAGTGGATTCCTTACCTGGAATCTTTTAATTTAATATATTTGTTTCTACTGTTCTAGATGGAGGGAGGCGGGGAGTGAGTGCAGGACTGAGGGAGGGGACTTTGAAGCTTTCTCTTGTAGGTGCGCTTGGGTGGAAGCTGTTTACCCCTGTCACCAGTGCATGCTGATGACAGGTATAATTTTTGCACAGAATTCACATTAGGCAGCCAGGAATAGAACCTTAGATTACTGTGTAAGTGTTTCAAGTAGAAATTCAGTACATACATGTCCACTTCTAAAAGTATAAGTGATCATGGTGGTTAACCATTTAAACAATATGTCAAATAAGAGTGGCACAGACAAAATATTAATATTATTTGCCTAATAGTCTTTTCCACATCTTTGGAGACAATAACTGCAATCTTGGGCTTTCTGTTGCTCCGATTAATATTCGTAAACTTTTTGATTGGAATTTTAGCCCACTTGAACAAACTGCTCTAGTTCTATCAGGTATGATGGCTGCCTTTTCCCACCTGCGAGTTTCAGCTCTTTCCACAGATGTTGTGAGATCTGGACTCGTAGAAGGCCAGTTCGGATAGGTACAATGTTTTCTTGGGTGCTTTTGAGGTATGTTTCAGTTGATTATCCTGCTAGAGAACCCGTGACTAAGATGCAGCTTTCTGACACTGCGCAGTACATTTTGCTTCTGAATGCCTTGATAGTCTTCTGATTTTTTTTGTGCGCTGCACAGATTCTAAGAAGCCAGAACCAGAGGCTTCAAAGCTACCCCCAAAACATCACTGAGCTTCCTCCATGTTTCATGGTAGCGATGGTGCTTTTTTACTTTCTTTCTATAAATATGGAGCTGTTGTGATTTGACAAAAAGCTCATGTTAGTTTCATCTGTCCAAAGGCCATACCCCCAAAAGTACTGTGGATTATCAACATCCATTTTTGACAAATTCTGTTGGAGGGCAAACTCAAATGAGTGAATAGTGAATTAGTTTATAAAAATGCAAGGGTATCAATACTTTCATCTTCATCTAAAAAAGTGGGGGGAAAAGTCACTCTTTCAATTGCACTGCTGGACCCCCTTGACACTCATGTGACTGGCATTGGATGTCATATGAGTAACTGTGTTTGGATTATATTATGTCTCTTATATATTTAACATCAGTTTGCACCGTTTGAAAAGACATCAACGCTGGTCCACAGTTTCTGAGATTGAACATACCATAAACTTGTTTTGAGCAACCTTATCGCTCATCCAACCATTATTTCATTGGATAATCTTTGATTCTGACTCTGCTGCCAGAATACAGATTACTACCATTGTTATCTGAAGATTGTAAAGTGGTTCTTAAAAGAATATTTTAAACTCCAAAACATCTTTAGCTTAATTAAGTGGTTATGGTGTGTTGATCATGTTTACATTGCCAGAATAAAACTCAGTTATAAATCAAATGCTGCTCCTAGAACATAATTCGATTGGTGCAGTGTGGTGTTTTGCCGTGCATGCGCGCTAGCTTCCAAATGCTTCCCAATGGCTAAATATTGGATTGGCTGGGATCATCATCAATGATGATCGCAGCCAAAGAGGTGGAGCGGCAGTATGGGAAACAGTGCAGAAGGGTACTCACCTTTTAAATGCTCACATGGGAGGAGGGCACGTAGGTAGGTTTCAGGACAATATAGCTTTAACAATACATGTTTGTATTCCTAACGCTATAGTGTTATTGTAAAGTTCAAGTAACACAGCAGGCGATAAGACCATCTAAAGTAACAGTAAAGTGTTGTAGAAATAAAACCCTTTTTTCATTATTATTATTATTTTATTATTTATATAGCGCCATCACATTCCGTAGCGCTGTACAATGGGTCATGAAGGCTGTGTGAGTCATAGCTAGGGAAGGTGTGGCTAGGGCTGCACAAGCAAAATCATTTAACTCCAAAACTGTTTTTTTAAGCTAAAGTTGTTTTGGTGATTAGAGTGTCCATTAAAAATAACTAATCTCTGCACACCCACCATCCAAGTCAAGAAGTGACTTTTAAAAAGTTTAAATGACATACGGTACCCCATTCTATCTAATTCAAGTTTTATTTCTGGATGCGCAATCTTCTGAAGATCCTAGGCCGCTTTGCTTGCAACAACTCCCCAACATTAGTTGCCAATTTGCAATTTGGTTTTCAGTGAGATTAAATTAAGTATTTACTAAAACACAAAACAGCTTTTACACAGAACCCACTAATATCTCTCACAAAGACTGATTCTTTCAATCTTTGCCCTGAGACAGCAGATCTGTCATGCTTGAGCATTTTGCAACTCAGCACTTAAATATAGCTATTATAACTCGCTTTTATATATAATGTAACACATCTATCTGAATGCAGAGTTTAAATTGTATAATTCTGCCATAAAGTATCAAGTGAAGCAACTAAACTAAAAGAGTAATTTCAGTATTTACTAAATATAAGCAGTAGACACCAAAAGAATAATTGTCAGGCAGTGTGATAAATTATTTGAGACATTTATTTTACATTACATCTATTTGAGCGAGCTATATAGACAATAACATTGATTACAGGAGCTGCATGCAGAGTATCACAGCTTTGTAGTTAAGAGAAGAATCCTCTTGGGGGCTCCAAATCCATAAAAAGCGTTTTTAAGGTGCCTTCCAGCCCATGTAGAGTAGGACTAACATGGTCTCTCTCCCACATTTACACCAGAGGTCATATTTAGAGCACTAAAAAGTACCTCCGATTTTTTTATTTACAAACTAAAAGTTGCACTTCCCTTTTGAATGATTGGTTTAACGTAGCAGTTTAGTTTCTGTTCCTTCCATATAAATCTATTAGCTTTCCATATTGAAATAAACTGTTATTCCAAGACACATTTAGAATGTGAATCTGAAAGCAAATATATCAAAGGACACCACAGGCAACCTGGAAATTCACTTTGGGGGGTAAAATGCCCTTTAAAGGATATGAAACTTCTGCATAATGGGCCAATAAAAGTTAGAAGTTCATTAAATAAATACATGGTTAGACTCACACAGGGTTACTCACTAATGTGGGAATTGTTGGGACGTCAAAGTGAATTTGAAGGGCATTTCAACTGCTATTTTTGGCTTACATTCTAAATTCACTTTAACAATTCTCACTTTAATGAATAACCCTGGTAATATTTAATTAAGCAAAGTGATATTCATCACTATCACACACAAATATATTAAATAAACCATACTCTCACACATATAACTAGCATAAAGTGAGGGGAAAAAAAGTATTTGTTTCCCTGCTGATTTTGAACGTTTGCCCACTAACAAAGAAATGATCAATCTATAAAAGGGAGTGCTCCTAATCTCAGCTTCTTTACCTGTCTGTAGAAACAATCAATCAATCAGATTCCAAACTCTCCACCATGGCCAAGACCAAAGAGTTGTCCAAGGATGTCAGGGACAAGATTGTAGACCTACACAAGGCTGGAATGGGCAACAAGTCCATCACCAAGCAGCTTGGTGAGAAGGTGACAACAATTGGTGCGATTATTCGCAAATGGAAGAAACACCCAGAACTACCAGGGAGGATCTTGTTAATAATCTCAAGGGAGCTGGGACCATAGTCACCAGGAAAACAATTGGGAATACACTATGCCATAAAGGACTGAAAACCTGCAATGCCCACATGGCCCCTCTGCTAAGAAAGCACATGTACGTAATTTGATGGCGCTATATAAATAATAAAATAATAACAATACAGGCCCGTTTAAAGTTTGCCAGTGGACATCTGAATGATTAACTGGAGAACTGGGTGAAAGTGTTGTGGTCAAATGAGACCAAAATCAAGCTCTTTGGCATCAACTCAACTCGTCGTGTTTGAAGGAGGAGGGAGGGGGAATGCTGCCTATAACCCCAAGAACACCATCCCCACCGTCAAACATGGAGGTGGAAACATTATGCTTTGGGGGTGTTTTTCTGCTAAGGGGGCAGGACAACTGCACCACATCAAAGGGACGATGGACGGGGCCATGTACCGTCAAATCTTGGATGAGAACCTCCTTCCCTCAGCCAGGGCATTGAAAATGGGTCGTGGATGGGTATTCCAGCATGACAATGACCGAAAACACACAGCCAAGGCAACAAAGGAATTGCTCAAGAAAAAGCACATTAAGGTCCTGGAGTGGCCTAGCCAGTCTCCAGACCTTAATCCCATGGAAAATGTGTGGAGGGAGCTGACGGTTGGAGTTGCCAAACATCAGCCTTGAAACTTTAATGACTTGGAGAGGATCTGCAAAGAGGAGTGGGACAAAATCCCTTCTGAGATGTGTGCAAACCTGGTAGCCAAATACAAGAAACATCTGACCTCTGTGATTGCCAACAAGGGTTTTGCCACTAAGTACTAAGTGGAAGGGGTCAAATACTTATTTCACTCATTGACATGCAAATCAATTTATAACTTTTTTGACATGTGTTTTTCTGATTTTTAAAAAAATTTTTTTTGTTATTCTGTCTCTCACTGTTAAAATACACCTACAATTAAAATTATAGACTGATCATTTCTTTGTCAGTTGGCAAAGGTCAAAATCAGCAGGGCATGAAATACTTTTTTTCTTTACTGTACCAACTTACGTCGGCGTCCTGTGCAGCGGGACGCAATGGAAGGGGTAAAATAGCGTGCCAGTGATATAATTTTGGCTCCACCCAAAGTGTCCCACCCCTTGAAATGACAGGTCAGCCTGCTAATAAAATAGGCTGTCCCACCAAGGGCACACCATGTAGGGAGCCATCAGTGCTCTCCGCATGGTATTAATGCCCTGAGCATAAGTGCAAGAACATCTAATGGTGTACTCGAGCTATGCTTGTTTGTGATAGTTCCCTGGTGTCCCCAAAAGTGGGTCACCAGAGAACAAAGTTAGGATGGCAGGACAAGAACCAAAAATCAGGACTGTCCCGTCTGAACAAGCTGTTCAAACATCTAATTATCCACAGAACCATAACTAGCTACTTACACATTTAATTAAATACAGACACATGTTCAAAGTAGCCACTCACACCCACTAAATAATACACACACATGTTCAAAGTAGCCACTCACACCCACTAAATACATACATACCCACACACTCATCTTAACTACTGTCAGTAAGGAGAAACTGGGGGAGTGGAAACCAATAGTCCACACTCTGCAGAATGTAAATCCTTGGTATCTAGTGGGGTAGCAGACTGTCTCCACATTTCTATGGCAACAGAAACCACTTCAGGGCTTTTTTTTGTATTCCAACTTGTCTGTCCATCATGATCCCAATTGGATGGGATTTCCTTAGACATCCTCCAAGTGTTCTGAGTGAGGAAACGCTACAGAAGGCTTCCCCAATCTCCGGCCATCCAGATGTTGCTGAACTACAACTCCCATGATTCTCAGCCTATCTATTTCATCCATGGAATCATGAGCGTTGGAAGCTATAAGGAAGCTATAAAAACTATGAGGGAGCATTAATGCTGTGTCCAGGACGGAGGAGATGGAGGCAATCTCTGGACACCAAGAAGTAGGATATATTAAACTGATCCTAAACTGGGCGTGGTGCCATGGCACTCGGGTCAATATAATCAATACAATAACATGTAGTGGGTATGTTGCTTAGAGTGCTCCTTTAAGCAACCTGCCTTCATTTTTGAATGTATATCATATGCAATTTCTCACAAACCAATTATGCTGTACTTTTCAGATTTTTTTTTTATAACTTGTGAAAATGTCATTGTCTATGACACAGTTAAAATGCCATGCAGAACTAAGAAAAATTAAATTTCTTAATTTCTCACTCTTTTTTTTTAGATTTTATTCAGATTAAATTATGTTTCATATATTAATATTTGACGTGAAATGAAAGCTCTGTTTCTCCTGAGCACAATGATATATAATAAGCGTGGATGCTCTTAATATGAAAAAGGTGAATTATGTTTGAACAGACATTTAGCGCAAATTCCAGGTTTGTTTTGACCACAACTTGTACAGTTTCCTCCATCATTAAGAGGGTAAATGAAGTGCGAAAAAATAATAATAATAATTAGCTACTATATATTTTTTTGTGTTGTTTGCCTTCCTTTATCAGTAAAGCATAAAGCATATAATCTTTACTTCAAGTCTAGACCATCACGACTGGTTATCCCAAATAATTTTGGGAATGTGTCCTTCCTACTCCCTACTTTCTACAATCACACAAGCCAATATTATATATGTTGTTATTATTATTATTATTATTTATATAGCGCCAACAAATTCCCAGCACTTTACAATGGGTGGACAAACAAACATTTAGTTGTAACCAGACAAGTTGGACACACAGGAACAGAGGAGTTGAGGGCCCTGCTCAGTGAGCTTACATGCTAGAGGGAGTGGGGTAAAGTGACACAAAAGGTAAGGGTAGTATTATAACTAATGACAGTTGCAAGAGAGGAATCAGTCGGGAGCTATTAACAGTTTAATTGATACGCTTTTATGAAGAAGTGGGTTTTTAATGATTTTAATTAATGAGTGGAGACTAGGTGAGCATCTAACGGAGGAAGGAAGTGAGTTCCACAGGAACGGTGCAGCCCTCGAGAAGTCTTGAAGGCGAGCATCAGAGGTGGGAATACGGACAGAAGATAGACGTAAGTCTTCAGCAGAGCGTAAGGGCCTAGACGGGACATACTTGTGTATTAGGGAGGCCACTTTTACCATGGAGTTATCAAGCTATAAAATGATACTCACATAGGGTGATTATAACCACTTTTGCACACGATCTGGTGTGCTGTGACATGCAGTTTCACTTCTTTTTTACTTTTTCATTAAGCAATAGACCAAGAGTAGCTTTCATATTTTGTTCACCCAAATTTTTTTAATTTCTTACTCCGAGCACTGTGACCAGCTTAGTGACTTCAAGTGGTCATTGTGCCTTGGAATCTGTATGTGCAGCGTTTTGTTATTAAATACAGAATTTAAACCTGTAACTCCACCTCCGGCAGCCTTATTAGGGCCTCATCAGCCAGCTCAGAACAAACAATTAGCTGAGAACGGTCAGCTGGCTCTCTCAGAATTGGCATCCAGCTCTGCCAAAGCCCAATGTACATCACAGCCAGCCATTGCAAAACTGTTTCCCCCTTTACTTGGTAATAGGGCAGGGTGCAGTTTCCCCCTTTACTGAATAATGGGGCCAGGGTACAGTTTCCCCCTTTACTGAGTAATAGGGCAGGGTACGGTTTCCCCCTTTACTGAGTAATGGGGTCTGGGTACAGTTTCCCCCTTTACTGAGTAATAGGGCAGGGTACGGTTTCCCCCTTTACTGAGTAATGGGGTCTGGGTACGGTTTCCCCCTTTACTGAGTAATGGGGTCTGGGTACGGTTTCCCCCTTTAGTGAGTAATAGGGCAGGGTACGGTTTCCCCCTTTAGTGAGTAATGGGGTCTGGGTACTCCTGACACCATAAGCAGTACAGAGGGCTGTAGTGATTATGATGCTTGGAGTAACCTTTTAAAGTGTAAATTCACTCATTTAACAGTTCAGTAAAAACAAAAACGTGTTAGAATGCACAAAAGAGGTATTCTGTGCAATTTATGCTCTGTCCACCCAGCAAAACATACAACAATCATACAGCTTGATGTGCCCATCAACAGGGCTGGCCTAAAAAAATGTGTTGCCTTGGTATAAAAACACAATGCTGCTCTACCTTCATCTTATTTTAATTTTATTTATATCCTGTGCTTATTTAGAATAAGTAATTACATGAATTTTATAGCTTTCCTTGGTCTTCTCTGGGCCGGTCCTGGGCTGGTAGCTAGCTTAGGTCCTGCACTCCAAGTGCAGTCACGTGACATCTGACATCACAAACTGCATGTTCCAGTTACCAATAACAGATTGAGAGTTGGCAGGGTTTAAATCACCACAATAACAAAAAAAATAAAAAAATAAGTTGGTTTCACGAGGAGAACATCATGGACTGCTTATGATTTCAATGGGTTTTACAGCGGAGTCTGTTGACCCCTTGCATTAAGCGTCGCACCCCATAAAGTGCTGTATGGTTACCATGGTCTTATTTGGACCCCTTATGGGTCAGCCTTGCTCCCTAAAATATATTTTATACAAATATTATTTATTCACACTGGGGTATAATCACTCCAAACAAAATGTACAGAAAAAAAGACAGATATAGCTATAGGCGCTCACTATAATATGAACAGGCAGCAGTAAATCTACAAGGATTCCCAAACCTTGCGTAGGATACAGAAATGTGACAAAACAACAAGTGATAAACTGAGCCAAACAGAACTAAAAAAAAATCACACGGGTGTAATCAATCTTAACAGTGACCCAATCATGTATAATAAATTATGTATATACATACTCTCTTTGGAGTAAAGTATTTTTGTATTTCGGTACCAGGAAAACCTCAAAATGAAACAGAAATACAACAAAAAATAGTGTAATATGTCTTAATGGTTCTATAGACAGTTAGGTATATAGGTAACTCACTCACACTTTTATGAGCTACTAAGAGCTCTGCTGTTTAGCGCTTTGACGGTACAATCCCCGTCTTGGGATATATGTAGATCAACAATCTTATGTGTCCAGTACGACTCTGAATAGAGCTTGACAGCTGCTGCTTCTGTTTTTAGGGACAAGATTTTCTAATAAGCTCAGTTCGAATAGAGCTTGACAGCTTATTCTCAGTCTGTTTTTTAGGGAAAGATTTTCTAAAAAGCACAATTCCTCTGCTCCCAGCGGCTCTGCAAGGCGCACACTGATGAACAAAAAGTAACAGAAATGCACAATTTAGGCTAAATTAGCTGATATGGTAAAATCTTTGTGGCAGAACCTACCGCCAATTTCGTGTACTTTGCCCTTGTTCATGTGTTTTTCCCTTTTTGCATTCGGGAATTTATATACGAACGCCATTCATTCGTCTCCTGAATGAGGACCACCCCTGTACCCCATTAGAACGTTCACACCAGCAACTTAAGTGCAAAATCACAAGGGAAGTAATTAATGAATGCTTCTCCTGGGTGGCCGGCATTTCGTATAACCGAATGCACGTGGTCGACTAAAGAATGGCGGCCATCTTGTCCCCCGAACGTGGGCAGCGGCACTTGGTCGTCGAGTGTCTTGAACTCTTTTTGGCTAGACACTCGCACGAACTCTGGTAAAGATTAGAAGACTGCCCGTTCTACTTCACGACCAACTATGCGAACGACGTTCGGAAGATAGGAACTACCGAACAGGGGGAGCATTCGCACCCTGAAACAAAGATTCCCTTGCATGGTGTTCTAACAAGAACCCCCAATTGGCCAGGACAACAATTTCCCTGGAACATTTTGGGACTAGTGCCGGTCAAAACTTTACCCCGGTGGCATTCCAGTTTCACAGATCCGATCTGAGTGACATTTGAATATATAATACACTCAGATCAGGGCTATCTGGGGATATGACTTTTGTAGGGTTCCTAGTTATGGGGGGTACTTTTGGGGTACTGTATATTTTGTGTAGATTTTCTGTACCCGAGAGATAATTGAATTATAGGTTTTTCTCACGCAATTATCTCTCAGGCACAGAGGATTTTGGGATTGAAACCCCTGTATTATTGTATTGGAGACCCCATGTAGGGGTCTGTAACGGATCACCTGGCACCCCGACTGGGTACCTCCGTTGAAAGATGCTCCTAGCGCTTCCAGAGGACTCCAAGCACTCCACCAGACACCATAAGCACCGCAGGCTGCAGCTATCTCCCTTCAGAATGAAGCAGGAACAAGCTCTTACAAGAGCTCAGTGATTATAGCAAGGGAATATGCCTAGCATAGCAATCCCTTGTAGCAGATTCCCCCAATAAGAGACAGGACTCAAGTTGAGGGTAAAAATAGAACTCTCTGGCTGCTAGCTTGCAGCCCTTTTTATTAGGTGCTCCCATGAAGGGGAGGGACACACACAGTAACGTACATTAACTAATCACACAATAGTTACATCCCACACATAGCCCTCCCCTCTACCTGTAAACTAATTATCTGTACACACAGGGAAATACAATTATCATAGGTAGGGAAAATACAGTTTTTACACAACATTCATAACTCCCAAAATATACATCACATTCGCATAAAAATACATATTCACAATCAATCCATTCAGGGGAACAACATATTAAAAAAATGGCATGAATCAGACCAGGGGTTCAAAAGTTAGTAAAAAGTCCTTTGTGACTAAATGAAGCATGGCTTTCTGGCCCAAACCAGTTTCAGAGTCTTCTATCCTGGAGATAAGTAATTCAATTATCTCCCAGGACAGACACAAGACTCCATTAAGCACATGGTTGCAAAAGACACAAAACACTTTAAAATACATAAAGTCACATTTTACACATAACACACAGACATTTCACATATCCCCAGATAGCTGGGATCCGAGTGCACATTATTAGATGAATGGCACTCAGATCACACAAATAAGCCTTTCTGCAGGGGAAATAAACAGTTTAACCTGCAGGGCCATAGTCCAAAGGGAGCAGGCGAGCAACCAGGCTTCTCCAGTTCACAGTGGCGAGGTTGGTTTCGCCACAGGGTCTGTACATAAAAGCTGTGTATGGCCAGAATAAAATGAGTTGACTCCCAGAATTATGGTTCGTCTGGTTACTGGGGGAATGGATGTCT